ATGATTATGATCTCGGGGTGCCCATACAGGGAGTCTAACGGGACCTATGGGACCCAGTCTCCTGGTTAGGGTTTTCATACCCTCATGCCAGGTATTAGTTTGACAGCCCTGGATTTTTTTCCAAACGCTACCCGCCTCAGTAAACATCGCCCGCTGTGGCAACCTTGCTTGTGACATGCGTAACACATGTCCCAACCACCGTAATCTATGAAGGTCGATCACTTGATCCAGTGGACGACCTCAATAACCTAAAACTTTATGCCTTACCTTTGCATTTCGCTCAGTTCAAATCAGTTTGTACAACTATCAACCGTGCATTTTCGCCCGCCGGTTTTGGGTACTGTCTTTTGGCTGCCCATTTGGATAAAGAATAGGAGAATCCAGGAAGGTTTGAAGTAGAGTCGAACAGAAAATGGCGAATTCCAATGGTTTAGGTTTGTAAAGAAATTGAGAAGATGCACGAACGCCACTGCTTACGACACTCAGCCACACCACTCAGTGTCTCTAACCATCAAATACGATCATCCCGAGGTCTCCAGCCAGGGAGCCTAACGGGACTCATGTGACTCAGACTCCTGGTTAGAGCTTTCAAACCCTTGTGCCAAGTCCTAGCTTGACCACCTTTGGCTCTCTTCCATCCACTACCTGCCGTGGCAACCATTCTGGTGACATGTACAGCCCATACACCCACGAGCGTAATCTATGGAGATCGATCAGTTGCTCCAATGCACAGCCGCGATTAACTAAAACTCTGCGCCTAACTTCGGTATTGTTTCTCTGGTTACCCCACCAGACTCGTGTAATGCGGGGTAGATAAAGGAGTTCAACCACCGAAGATCTATTTTTACCATGTTCCCGTAATAGCCAAGTCTCTCAACGTAGAGCAGAAATAGCCAAACGGCTGCAATATATAATCGACTTCACAGATATCCGGATGTCGCAAGTTGACAAATGCTAACCCAGTCTTCCGTATTTGTGCCGACACTTCAGTTGTAATGCGTCCGCCAGGTGAGATATAGCTGCCCTGACAGCAAAATTTCTCTACTTCCTCTACTACTTCTCCAATCAGGGTGAGGTTGGGGGCTAGATAAGAGCTTCAGTATGGTCGGGGGTGGGTGGCTAGGGTTGCGGCTGGTCAACCTCCTTTGCAATTCGTGAGTGGTGCTTCCATACGACAAAGCGTCTCAAATAGCCTTTGCTGAGGAAACTCTACTAACTGTCTTCTCGTAGCGGACGTGTTTTCCACCAAACTGAGAAGACGAATAGCCAACATCCGGGGGCTATAACCGGGTTAGTGGACCCCTAGGTAGTAGTCCACCTAGGAGAGTTGGCGAAAACTCCTGATTCCAAAGCAACAAAGAGGAGTCGTACGAACCATACACACCTTCCCGGTTGTCGCAGTGGTCACCGGCTTGATTGGACATTTAGGTGTAATGAGCACCTTGGACGTTTGACTCCGTCCGAAGGGCGTATGATCCGATGAACTGGACACGGCCCCAATGGATTGCGATTTTCACATACAGCCCAGCCGCCTTGCGGGTGAGGCTTTGGCTAGCCGAGGGCTCCGGTTGTGAATTCCTCAAGAAAATTCACCTGCTCTGGCCTCGGCAACCTGACAGTATTCCGCCCATATGCAAATCACGGAAAGGTTTTCATTGTATAAAGATTATTTTACCATGATATGTTCAGCACACAGTCTTGCGTCAGACGTGTGTGAAATAGGAATAGAGATAGACGAATCCAACCTTGTAGGAACATTCGAAACTTTGAAGGTGAAGAACGAATAAGCAACATGGCCACACTAGCACTCAAACTATCCAGAAAAGCTTGCAACTTACCTTCACAATGTCATTTGCACACTCTAGATCAGGCAGTCTGCTACTTGGGAGTGAATCAATACCGTTATCCTCGAGGAGAATAAGAGAACTTCGAGAATCAAACATGACATAGGTGAAACGAAACGGAGGAGAGGGCGACTCTGTCCAACACTATTTTCTGTAGTGAACTCGGCTGAAAAAGTCCCGTAAGCTCGCAATCAACTTCGGTTATTAGTGTAAAGGGATTGTAATATTGAAATAATTTTCTCGGGTACAACCTCCAAGCAAAGGCAACGCAAGAGTTTAGAGTGATAGGCTGAGTCGGAAGCCGCTTTCAGATCGAGGAAAATAGAAATGATGGGTTTACGAAAAAAGTGTCAATGTTCTAGAATTTGACGAAGAGCGAAGATGTGGTCGATACAACCTCGACCAAGTCTACAACC